CGGGCGGGGAGGTACGGTCGGGCCGGCCCCGCCCCCTAGCGGCATGACACGCGGGGCGGGGGAGGGGTAATTCGCGCGCACCAACTGACAACTTCCGCCTGCCTCCTGGAACGACTGGGGGCGGGGCTAGCCCTGGGGGCGGGGCTGGGGAGAGCCGGTGTCACCCCAGAACCACAGGGCAGTGGGGGCCTTGCCAGTCCTGGGGAGCTTCATGCACTTCACTGTGGGTCCCAGGGTGGCGGTGCCAGGCCAGAAGAGTGCCTGTCCCCTGGCCTGGCTCCTAACTCACACAGCTGGAGCACAGCTGACTAATTCTACTGCTCATGAGTGCAGCAGGCAAAACAGTGTTGATGTGCTAATGCGCAGTAGATTTAATTTACTGCGCATTAACATCAGAAAGATGTTTACTTGCGCTAATGCACAGTACCATGGATTACAGCACATTGAGCACCTGTCGTTACAGGTACTAAATATGCCATAATGACAGGGTGCTGGTTGTAGCCGTGTTGGTTAAAGACATAGGCAGACAAGGGTCTTTGGGTAAATGTGATATCTTTTATTAGACCAACTCAAATAGTTGGAAAAATTCTTCTTTGCAAGCTTTTGGGTACAAACACCCATCTTCAGGTGAAGGGAGTACATTAATGAACATGTAGGCACGCCCATGGATACATAAATCGACCCCTGGTTTACCCTGCATTAAATGAAATATATACCTGTGACCTCTGCCTTAGAAAATCAGAATAGTTCCTGAAATTAGTAGGCTGTTATGGCAGCTTAATGTGCTGTAAACATCTGTTTGAGCATCGGGTATTGACACAATCCACGCAAGAGGGTAAAACGTTTACCACCCAGGTGCTACATGACAGTATGAAGATTAATGAACCTGGAGACTATATACTGCTTCTCTGGGCAGGTCTACACATGCATATTAATGCAAAGCAATAAACTCTGGAGTTTATTGCTCTGGGTGTAACATTTGAATGTCTGGCAGGGGGAGGAGGGGCCAGCCTGCCAGCCTAGGGTTGCTCTTCCCTCCCACCCACTCCCTCAATGTGCTGTGGGAGGGCTGGATGGGGCATGAGGGTGCTTCAGCCAGGCAGCCTCTACATGTGCACTTTTGCAGAGTGAAAAACTCTGCAGCAGGATAGTACTTGTATTTGCAAGTACTGCCCTGCTGTGGTGTAAACTAGTTTACTCCAGCCTAATAAGGGCACCTGCTTAGATGTGCGACGTTTACTGCATAGATTAGTCTACTGTGCAATAAACATCTAATGTAGACGTGCCCGCTATCTGCTAATGAGACTAGTGCACTGGTTCTCAACCTCTTCAGCATGGAGTCACCTCCTGTTAGACTTAAGGCACACTCATTAGACTTGGTTCTCAACTGCAGTGGTTCTCAACTTCTTCGGATTGGAGTCATCCCCTCTGCTTGGGCCATAGCATGCCGAATGGATTCCAACCATGTCGGGACAAGAAATGTAAAACCTGCCAACACATCTTGATAACTCCCACAAAATTACATCCCACAACAGAACCATCACCATTCCTGAATCTTACATCTGCACCTCCAGAAATGCTATATGTCTCATCCAATGCACCAAATGCCCTGATAGAAAATATGTAGGAGAAACCAAGCAACAACTGCGCACCAGAATGAACGCACACCGAAAATCTATCAAAGACTGTAACCTCCTGTGTCTCTCCCTGGTACATCGCGGCTAGGGATGCTTCTCAAACCTTGCTGTGGCTTCTTGGGATGGACGTTCTAGTCACCAAGCGACTTTGGGGTGGTTCCCCAGGGGCCTCATCTGCCATGTCTTTGATGAATAATTGGTTTGAATCGGAAGGACGATGTTTGGTCCTGCCCCCCTGTTGCCCAAACGGCTAGTTTCGTGCCCCCGGAGGCTTTTCCGATTGACCTCAAGGAGAGAGTCACACACTCAGGCTGGGTCCATTTCAACTTTTATTGTTTGCGCAAACAAGATCGACTAGGGGGCTAGTAGCCCAAAGCAGAGTCGACCCCTGGTCTTTGTCCGAGGGTCTTTTTATAGCTTATCTAAACAAAGAACCGTATCGTGTTATGCAGTTATTGGCTATCCTATAGTGTCTACAAGCTTCTACTGTTTCGTCTAAGTTTCCACAAGACGTCAAAGTTTCCATGGTTACGTCTACATTTCCACAGGATGTTTTAGGTTTTCATGCTATGCTTAACTTATTATGGGTTATGTTATAGCACCTGTGTGTTTTTAACAGGGGGTCTTTTATCTTATGTCTTCAATCTATGTGCAGAAGCTAATGCGGAAGCCATTTGCAAGCCATGTCGAATATAGAAGCCTTTTGCAACGAAA